TTTGAAGTGAAGTGTCGTTCTTGCTAACTTTTTGCCAATGATCAATAAGTTTCCAAACTGCACCACTGGGAACCTCTTGACACCCGGCCTCAATATGCCCAAACAACCGAAAGGACTCTGCATTAACTGTTTTATCGAGCGTAGGAGATTGCTGCAAGGAGTGAGGTACGAATTGCAGGCAGGTTTTAGAAAAAAGATGAAGAAAGTTTTCCCGCGACTTTCTAGCCGGCCTGGTGTCTAGCTTTTTTTCTTCTCTTACTCTGCCTATACTGATTTTTTCTATTTCTTTCGGAAACACCTTTGAAGCATTTATAGAGAAGTTCACACCTCACTAATTTTAAGGTGTTCAACAGACTAGCTCTTTCATCCAGACCTGCGTACTACCACGGGTACTTTTCTCAGAATCAGATGCGGTCAGTCTTTCCAGACATTTCTTTCGTAAAGATTTCAAATTTGCAATTTTACAGATCTATTCGGCAAAGCTTATAATTATTCTTCATCAGCAGCGTATTACCCTTTTCCAATCATTGGTGTTCATTGACAAGGTGGGTTTCAGCTTGGTAGCGTTTCCACATCTTGAAGTCATATCTACTGACATTGTCGCTGAAAGGTGATAGATTGTCTTGCATTTATTATGTCTTACACGGTTGTTTTAGCTCTTCATTGACGCGTTGCCGCTGATTTGTGCGTTGACAGAAAACGAAGCAAATGCCATTGGCACATTTCTACAAATACTCCTTTCTCATGCTCAACGGTGGCACTCCGACAGTTCAGTTTTTGAAAAGGTTCGTGTCCTGGAATATTGAATTTCTGCTTGAAGACATTGCGTGGAACCGAGCGACGTTCTGAATATGTGCGTACAGGCGTCGCTTGTCTTTCGTCCACATCCATCTTTTTCGCCTTTAAAAAGTCGTTTTGAGGCAAATGTCTCTTTGAAAAATTCTACTGCTCAGTAGTGAATTACTTATACTTTCTGGTCGATTCAATAAAGCCTTCGAAGAACGAATTCATCGTTGGGTTTTTGAAGTCGTCTATTTAATCTCGTTTCGGTTGACTTACGAAATCTCATTAAATATTTTTTAATATAGTCAGAATAAGGATGAATTTCACTCTGTGATAAAAATGATTGAAGGAATGTGATGGGTTTCCTGGCTTGATCTCGAAAACGCGGCAGGACAAAACAACAGAGAGCGTCAATTACGAAAGTTTCCGAAGGTTATGCTTCAAATGGCAGGTTGGAAAGAAGAGTTTGGAAATATTCTATGCGCGACGGCCACTGAATTTGTTGTAACTGAGCTCGTTTCAGATGCGGCTATATACTGCTTTCAATTCGGTACTTTCGGTGGAAAACAACGAGTATGTACAAGTACGGAATTGCTTGGTGGTAATGACGAAGGTGATTGTTTTTCTGCACTTTTCTCCTTGAACTAAGATATGTAAGCTTTTCGTAGTATCACTGTCGCCTTTTTATTACTTTTTTGTTGCAGCTCGCTCCATGTTTCCCACTCTTGAAGGATTTGGTGGAAAATGTAGAGAAGTTGGCTGAGAAAGTAAGTTTATTTGTAGCGTAGGAAATAACACAAAAGTCTTTTTCGCCTCTTCTAGGTTCGAGACCGAGAAAGGAAAAAGAGATGAGCTGTCATTGAAAGCTGCAAGCTATCTAGTCCGACTGAAAATGCGCAATGTTCCAATCTTCGAGGCATCCCAATTCCATGTAAGTTTAAATCTGTATTAATTCTCTTCACCACTGAATAGCTTTCAAGAGGTAGCATATTATTCGGATGGTTATAAAGATACTAAGCCTATTATATCGAGATAATTTTTCATCAGGCTCGCATTCTGGAAATTATGAAATGTAATTTCAGCGTCCTTTGCTAAAACATCCTGTGAAACAGAATTCTGTTTTGGAACGGAAGCGAGTTGCTCCGGTAGATTTGATGATCATTATCTTTTTTTTTTAATTTTTGTCCATATTTTTGTCCATACCACAAAATTCCTCCATGCAGAAATTATGGGGTCATTTTTTGGTGTCTTTTGTGGACTTATTCCCGCACCTAACGGACCTTCCAAACCGATGCTTGGGAGCAGTTGATTCAGTGAAAAAGTATATTTAGACGAGTTAGCGGACTGTAGTTAGCGGATGTGAGGGGAAAACACATAAGGCAGCTCATGGCATAGCTTCTGTGCACGTAAGCATCCTTTCGAAAATTCTGACGATTGAGTAGTATAACGTTCACACTTCTCTAGCCCATGCAAAGAGTTGTGGTGATTATTCCACGGCCCTTATTCTCCCTGATAAATCTGGCACTAATTAATCATCCAACAGGAAAACATCGACTGATTGGCTTGGGCGAGTTATAGCCTCTGACATACCTCTGCTCAACAATCATTTAGTGCTTCAAATTACTCGGCGAAGCGCTTTCTCAGGTGTTACTTTTTCTAGTTGTACTTATACTTTAAAACTTATACTGAAAAATTATATGGGATTGTGATGTTTTGCCGTAACATATTGTGAACCAATCCAGTTTATTCGTCCAAAGCGAAGGAATCCGCGAGATCGCATGGATTTTTTCGTGAACGCTGCTATTCAGCCTGATATCGAGACTAGCGTTATTCTTTTTTTTTTGATATTCTGTCCACCTTTTTTTTTACCTTCCTTCACTGTCGGCACAAATCAAGCACTGCAAAAATGCAGATCTCACGAAGATGCTTTAATACTTCACCATCAAATATTTACTCGGACGCTGAAAAAATTATTGCTAAATTATTGGTTACTGACAGAACAAACGCCAAAAACTTGCGGCAGTGCACATATAACGGTGATCCGCAATGAGGTAAAATACTAAATTTGAAGTCACTCCCCACTAAAAAGTTTAGGACCGAAGAAGCTTGTCGTCAAATAATTTTGAGCGCTATTCTAAATATTTTGCATTCATTTCACCTTGTGTATAGGCCTTGTGGCAAAGGTAAGCTTAAAATTAATGTAAGAAGAAATGAACGTCTAAGTTAAAAGATGACCTCACATTTCTATAATTTTTTTAATGAGACCGTTGAACACATGTTTATTCTGATAGTGTGCTTGACGTGCATGGAAGCGATACCGTGTCGTGGGAAAATGGATGGTAGAATGGGGGTTGTACGCTTTCCCATATTCGATATAATGTGGTAGGGTAGTTTTGGCAGCTTAGCTATCCGAATTTATTCAACATGAAGGCTATTTTTGGCTGCTATTTTCTGTTGTGTGGTCCTTTCTTCTACCCTAATGACATGCTCCACATCTTATACGACCGCTTGGTGGGCACTAGATGAATTGGCTGTCTGCTAATTTTCCAAGTCAATTTTTATTTTTGTGTTTAGTAATCTTTGATTATGGGCACAGTTTTTATTTACATAAATGCCATTTCAGGCTCCGGGTATTGAAGCAAAGAAGAAGGTGAAAGTGGAAAAGCCGAAGAGTGTAGAACGAAAAGAACCGGAAAGAAAGGATTTACCGAAAGTAGAAAAGCGGGAAAAGAAGGAAGAGCAGGTGGTGGTCAAGGAGGTGAAAAAAGAAGCGGTCGAGCGTGAGGAAGGTGAAGTCCACCCAGTCGCTCCAACAGCAACCCAAGGTACTTTGATTATTGAATCCATGCCGTCCGCTGTTGTGTTCCTTGTATACGACCGACGATGACACTGCTATTTTACGTGCATTTTGGTTGATTATAAGTCTCCGTGTCATCGGTTAGGACAAATCACCTGCTAATGGCGGGTCAAAAGAGCGGAAGGAGGCGACGGTGACCATTGCGAAAGAGGTTAAGGATGATAAAAAAGATTTCAAAGAGCCCAAGGAGAAGCGAGAAGAAACAAGAACGGCGAACGAAAAGGGTGCAGAGCGTCGAAGAAAGAGGACCTGCGAGGGAGTATGGACGGCGAGAAGGATCGAGGTCTCGATGATGAGGAAATTGGGGCCAGCGGTGAGTACAAAGTTTAGTTGAAGAACCTTCTCATTTCCTGCTTTTTACACAGAGGCCAAGACTCAAAATTGCTACATTTCCTATGCGAAGGCCCGACTTATGCTTTGAACCAGAAAGCGAATAGCTGTGTTAATTGAACTGTGGCTTTAGGGAAACGAGTTTACTAAATCACGTACATGAAATTTCTCCATTATAGTTACCACCAACAATGAGAGAGGACCGAACGGATGATCGAAAACGCGACCAGAAAGCTCACAAAAGATCCGCTCGAGATGAGGAGCAGAATGGGTAAGTTCTTAGGCTTCTGTCAGATATGAAATCAAGACTGGGCTTTTATTGGTCCGTTATTCAGTACCCAGACATAGTACAATCTTTTGTGATAATATGTACATGGTAGGACATTTAAAGAAAGGGTCTGTTGCGAGTGTCGCGAACTCGTTGTGCTAATCATCGCTCTCCTCGCTGTTATTTATTTTTCCTTAACGACTTGTTGCGAATTTACCAAACTCCAATCTTGGTTTCGATTAACACGCTTGACGACATCTACATTTTGGTCTGTTTTGGTCGTGTGGGTCCGGTGCAATTGTGCGAGCGCGATCGCTTCACATCACATCCGTCGGTTTTAAACATTTCGAAATTTTTCTTTGTTCGTGACTGTTTCAGAAAAGAAGTCAGCTTGGGCGAAAAAATGAATGTAATGGGAGCTTTTCATTGCCCAAATGTCCTTACTATTGGTCTGCAAATGGCGATACTAGTGTTGGGCCGCGCTCCCCATACGATGTTCAGTAGCATTGTCGACAGCGTGACGCGGCTAGACGCGTCGGACGCACTTTGTATTACTGTCGTGATTGGTGAACATCGGGGAACGCGTCCCGCCCGAGTTATTACTTTTCCTCCCGATTACACGACTTTTTCCCAAATTGTTAATATTCATTTTATGGATCACACCATAACATACTGTAAAACAAAAGCTAACCATATGGTCAACATAGCTTCAGCTTAGCGTTTTTCCAAGCGGACAAAATTACCAGCTCGCTTAATTCCTCCTTTTCTTCGTTCTCAGGCAGTGTAATTAAAAAAACGAAGTATTAGATGTGAATGCAAACCTTACACGAAGTAGCAAAACATATGCTATTTACTGGGGCGAAAACGTTCAAAGTAATTTGGCATCTATCACAGAGAAAAGTAGATTTGCTTCCTCATCACCTTTTTTTGGTCCAAATTCCACCACTGACCTGCGAGTACTTCTACGCATTGAATGATGCTGAACTGCTTTTGTGTCATTAACGTTTGCATAGTTATCACTGAAAATGCGAAAGGGAGGGTGAGGGGCCGACACTTGCAAAATCCTTCTGCTCACGTTGTCCCAACAAAGCGAAGATGCGCGAGTCGTCAGAATGGTATAGGGCAGAGTCTATCACAATACGCGCCGGTCTGTCTGACGCTCCCATCGTTACTGGTTAATGGTAGCCCCGGCAGCGCCTTCTGGAAGGATAAACAGTACTGATCACATCGGCTCTGAAGCGTTCAGTCAAACTACATTCAAATGCCGTACGTTTTTGAATGGAAATGAAATGCATGGCGCTTTTGAGAAGGGTTCTCGGCAATTCAGCGATACACTAGCCACTGATCGTTGAACTCGCTAGCCCATCCCTGGAATCGCTGGCGCGTCGCTTGAATTATCGAATTGCGCGATTCGCCAATGATTGGTTGCAAAGTCTAGCACCTGATTTAAAAGGCCTGTGGATTCGCAAATGGCTCGCATAAAAGTGTTATAACTTCTTAATTTGAACTTAAGTTAAATTCTCACGTTGCTGCCTGATTTGCCTGTGAAAATAGAGCGGACCTGACATATCAGTGCTTTGATCTGTTCTGTCCTTTGTCGAACATGCATATAAAGACCTTATGCTTCGAAATCGAATACTATGAGATGCCTAAAGAGATTGATCCATGCGCAGCGCTCTCTCCTCCAACATATTGCGAACAAAAGCACGGCGCGTATTTTTCCAGTTTTTGTATCCCGTAGTATTAGCCTCGCCTAGTGATCAGTTTGTATTTGTTTTTTTTGCTTCTAAGATTAGGTTCGAATAGTACTAGCGCAAAAATGCCGAACAACAAGCAGCGATTCTTTTTCGTGTGGAGGCGTGAGTACATGGTGGTGCCCACAGCACGCAATATGTAATTCCATCGGGTGTCCCCCAACAGGCCCACCGCGCGGCGAAGCAAGAGACGCAGACGCGGCAAAGGGACGAGTCGCAGCGCATACTGTAGCGGTTAGGCGTCAGGTTAAAGAGAGTGTACCATACTACGTCTCATATCGCACAGCACGCGCTGCAACTCGTCTGTGCTCTTGCTTCACCGCGCAGTTGTGCCTGATTGGGGCACGCCACATGCCCTTCATGTCAAATTGAAAATATTCTTTCAATTTTCAACTATTTAGGCATTCAAAAGTTGCGCGAAAGGACCGTGATCAGATCGAATCAAGATGTAAGTGTTATCTTACTTTTTCTTGGTAACTGTACAACAAGAAGTTATTACAGTATCCCGACCTGTGTCACATGAGCGCAGAGCCCCGTCACCTGTACGAGAAAAGGAGAGGCGAGATGAAAAGAAAGATAGGCGGAAAGATAGGTGAGCTGTGAAAATTCTTGTTTTGTATGATTTCCTTATGAGGAGGAAGAAGTACTACGTTTTTCAGTAAACCAGTGCGTAAGTAGATGGATGAAATCAGCGGCTACACTCCGTTATTCGTTACCTCAAACTGTTAAATGATTGTTACGTGTTGTGCATTGGTGAAAGTCTTAATAAAAATATCTCAGTGTATATTTGCGGCATTCGCTGTTAGGCAAGTATGAATTCACTAATGACTATAACAACAAATACTTTGAGCTTTTATTTATATTTCTGTAGAAGCGTTTTTACGCCGTCTTGCTGCAGAATGGCCAATTGTGAGTATATTAGACAAATTTCATGATATTGCTCACTGACAGGGATGGACAATAATCTTTCAAATTTCATTTCGTCCGAAAATGAGAGTTGTTGTTTGGCAAGTTTACGTGGCGGGTTGAGAGCAGCTGGTCCAAAGGCTAGCGATCAAAAGTCGTGTGGTTGAGCTTAGCGATGTAGTGGTCACATCAAAGGTGGTTTGCATATCACTTACTGAATGGGAGTGGGGAAGGTGGAAGGGAGGGGGGGGGAGGCGGAGCAGGGTGAACCGTCACCCTAAGCCCATCATAAAGCAACAACTCTAGAGATCGTGTCGAAAAATCTATTACGTGGTACGACAGAGCAGCCCGCCCCGTAGTTGTGCCGTTGTCGCGACTCGAAATTGTGCGAGGCCTCACAAAGTGAACTGATGACGGCTAATGTGAGCTAACGGACGAGATACCTTGCGCACACCCATATCGCGCAACGTGAACCAGAACGTAGCGGCTAATTTAGAATACGCGTGGGTTAGTGGCCATGGAGCGCGAAAGTTCAGACGAACTCGTCCGGCTCGCCTCTCCCCTATTTCAAGGGAGAATTGAAGGAGTCTTTGTTTGAGAGTTTCATCGGCGGTTTACTTTGCTTCTTCTTTCATTTTGTCAATTAGACATCCAGAATATGATTATCGGTCGCTGTTACCCCACCAATTTGATTGGGTGTTCTTACTTCAAATATTTCAGAGCTCCCCCCCCCTCCCTACACCCTCGTTGGTAACAACCAACAGGCGTTAGATAGCGATGAGAAATAATGTGATTTTGTCCCGATACACGCATGCCAGATAACACGCGCATAGCTGTGTGCTACATCTAGACGACTGTTGTCCTACAGTCCTTGGGTATGAACAATGGCTTACTTTTATGGCCCATGATTTCCGGATACACAAGTGAGGGCAG